TCTAAGCCAGACACCGGACACTGTGGTGTCAGGAGGCCCTGAAGGCAGACAAGTTCTGTACTCCTTCCTCCAGTGCTTTTGTTGTGTTTTTCATATTTCGCTCAAGACCTCCACTGCTTTTGTGTTAGTGTTTCTGCTCGTACTTATCCTTCTGACCCCCCAAGCCCTTCTCTTTCTGCTTTGAGCACACTCTAGTGTTTTCTTGCTTATGGATAGTGTTGAGACATTTCAGTGCTACGTGAAAGCACAAAGCTTTGTTGTCTCCCAGAGAAAAAGCAAAATTGGTTGCAGGCAGATGAACGAAATGGAAACGTTGACAGGTCTGAGCGCTCAGCAAACTCTGGTCCTGGTGACTGTGCAGTTTATGCCCTCCTAGGACTGACCCCATATAGCTCACTCACATTCATTCAGACTGTCTGGTCATGCCTTATCCTGTGGCATCAACACCATTAGTGTGAGAGCCAGGGAAGGATGAGTCTTCCCAACAGTTCTTCTTCCTTATAAGATGGGCAGCATACCCCTTGAGGAAATACGTCCCATTTCCTGGAAATTCTGTGCAATGTAAAAGGAGTATGATCTGTATTTGTGTGTGTGTGTGTGTGCATGTTCATGGCTGATAGAAGTATGTAAAAACACTTGGATCTTTACAGTTCATGAGTGTTTATGCACACTGGGGCCAGTTTGAGCCTTCCTCGTCACCCATTTGCACTGGTGCAGAGCTTAGTTTATTATGTTCCTCCAGGTTATATGTCCCTGAGATATGTTTATCCTTATTCCACAACATCTCATGGAGCCTTTGTTGCTGTTCAGTGGAGGTTTTTGTGAAGAGTTATGTGCTGTATTCCAGTTTCAGTGATACATTTCTTGCTTTATTTGGGATTCTATCCTAAATGGGTCATTTGTGTTTGTGAGCATGAAAGGGAAGATCTTAGTGCTTAGAAATGTATTTTTTTATATACGAGGGTCTGGTTTTTTCAGGGACTTTCTATTTATTTTTATTTCAGGTGACTTTTATTAATATAAGCAAATATGGAATGGTGTTTTCCTCTTTGTCCCCAACTCATTCTTCAGTGATTCCCTCTTCCCCTGCACAACACATATCTTAGGTGTTTTGTTTTCAACTTAAACTGTTGCCAACTCACTTGTAATTACAGAAGGAATTTTAAGCTGCTGTAAAGAGAGCTAATGGATGTATAATTAACTAATGACAGTTTGTGGGACTAAGCCTAGCAAAGTGAAAGCCATAAAAATTTGGAGCAACTGAGGTGGAACTTCACAGCTTCTCTGCAGTGTTTGGAAAAGTCAGTTCTCCCAGGGTAGTAAAGTTGGGGAGATGGTTTGAGAGCTTGGGAGAGGACAATATATCTTGAAATGTGCGGAAAGAACAGGAGGAGTAGAGGGTAAGAGCAGGAGGAAGACATGTGTCCTTCTCTCCCCATCATTTCCACCATCTGATCTGATCATGGGGATGAACTTCCTCCGCAGGCCTGATTTCTCTTCGGAGCCCAGTTGCCACTGGATGGGGCTACCCTTTCCTGTAACCATTAACTCTTCCCCACTGCATGCTTCCCTTGGCAGCAGTAGAAGTCACAATTCTGGCGAGCAGAAGCAGAGACCAGCTGGTTGGGTTGCTCTGGGAAAAGGAGCAGTCCGTGCAGGCCATGCATCCTCTCTCTCTCTGATGGACAGGTTTTCGGGTACTAACAGGATGGCTGTGCCTCTGCCAGCCTGACCTGGAGGGCCGCTTACGGACAAGCTGGACCCTTATGGAGCACGGAGGGAGTGCTGCTGCCGGTAGCCGTGGTGCCTCCTCCAGGCAGCTGTCTCTATTCAGGTTCCCATCCTTTTCGCTTCATTTGCTGAACCCCGCCAGGGTTAATGAGGCTGCGGTGAGATGAGCCAGCCCGGGCTGTGTGGGGGCTGGATCCTCTGGTCTGCCAGGTTTGCTTGGTGTTGTCTGCTGGAGATTTCCAGAGGGTGCTCTGCTCGTTCTAGGTTTAGATGCCCCGCTCTGGCATCTTGGTGTGAGGGAAGGAAGAGTGCGGGGACGGGGGGGGACAGGGAGCAAAACTGAATTTAACCTACAAACAGTCTTCAGGGACAAGGGTGCCTGCGATATCATAACAAGTCCCCACGGCCATCACACTGTGGCATCTGATTGCTAGTAGGGCAGAGCGGTTAATCAGGAGCCTACTCTTCACTGTGGCAGTCTTTCTTGCTATCACACTGAGAGCCAGATTTAGGCCATCTAAAATTAGCCCCTAGCCCTAAACCTCAGTCATAAACCTGAGTCTTTCTACTGCTGCCTTAATAAAAGCATGCAGTGTTATAACCCTTTTGGTTATAAAAAGAACACTGACTTTGGAAACAGCTGTATCCGTTTTATATCCATTCCCACATCTTGAAATATTCCTTTGTACATCTCTCCTCTTAACATTGCTACCTTTTACCGTGTAAATGAAGAAATGTCAGATCCATGCAGCGTGGGGGTGAGTAGCTTACCTGTACAGATGCAGCTGCTGTTGAAAAGCACACCTGAGTAAATGTGTTACAATTCCCCTAAATACTGAGATAACGTCTAGCGCATTTTAAATAACAGGTAGTTCTTGATCTGTTGTAGCATTTCCAGTGACTCACTGTTCCCCCCTCCTCCGCCCTCCCTGTTGCAGTAATTACAGAAGAGTATTGCAGTTCCTGACTCAGAGGGAGGCTTCCTTCCAGGGCTTCCGCCCATGCTGGAGCTCCAGCTCTGCAGCCGTATGGAGCAAATTGTGGGGACCATCATGGTAGCAGGCGGGGACTGCGCCAAGAATAATGCAGGCACGGCATATGTTTTGAACTAGCGATAGCAAGCCATTAAAGGGAGAGTTTGCTTTGGATTCGTGGCCGGGAATTTGGTTGCCAGAATCTTGGCTATGTCTCTAAAACTGGATGCTTACAGGAAGGGCATCCCAAGGGACGCGTCTGGTGGCTTCTCTCTCAGGCTAGGCTAGGAAACTGCAAAGTGTAAAAATCAAAAGGGGTAAGTGTGCTCCCACCCAGATTTGTTGTGGTTCCATGGCTTTTGAAGAGGAAGTGTCTTCCTGCGGTCCCGTGGGAGCACAGAGCAGGAGGGTCAGGGGACAGACCTGGGGATGGGGCTCGGCTGTGCGTCAGGTTGTGAGGTGGGAGCTGTGGGATGAGGTTTCACGTGTGCTGACCCCTCGCGCTCCATGGACACCATCATTTCTTCCTCTCAGGAGGAATTCAGCAGGTAGTGCAAGCTGGCACGTCGTGTACTCGCTGACTGGCTGCAGCTGGCCTGGCCGCTCCGGGAGCAGCAGAACGGCAGCAGTGACACGCTGCCAAATCTGACCTGACAGCCCTGCCACGAGGACGCTCAGGACTGGGGGGGAGGCAAGCAGAGGTGGACCAAAGGGCTCGAGTCTCCCGTTTGCCTTGTGAGCCGTTAGATCTGGCAGGCACACGGACAGGTCTTGATCGTCTGTTGTTTTCATGTTCGTGCCGCCTCCATTCGTGATTCAGCTTTTTAGATTTAGCAGAGCTGCACTCGTACTTGGCACTGGTGCAAGCAGCTGTGTGCAGCTGGCCACCAGACCTCTGCTTCTAAGAAATGTGTCTGAAGGTCTTCTTGCCATCAGCTAAGTGTATTCATAAGCAGAACTGTGCAAGTTGAGCCAAGTTTCTTGGAGATGGGAATAGATTCTTCTGTGCCTTAAATGCTGCACTGAACCCCGCTGTCTATTTTGAGGTGAATAAAATCTGCAAATTTGCTTTCCATTGTTTTAGCTTAAGCATGAGGAAATTCTCTTTAATTTCTCTTTCAGTGTTACTGTGTAAGAATGAGGGTCCTGAAATTTTTTATGGCTATGGTGCAGTGTTTTCAAATGCTTAGGTCAGAAAACATTACATGTGAGCACAGTATTTCCATCTGTTGCTTCTCAAAGGATAGAAATTTCATCCCCAAGTACTGCTGTGACATAATGCGTGGTAGAAGCATGGCTCTTCTGAGCATCTCCTTGTCAAAGTGCTAGTGCACTTAGTTCATGGTTCACAAACCTCAGTGCCTAAGAGCCCTAGGAAACAGAAGAGCTGGTTGCTAGTGAGTGGGATGGACAAAAGCTACAGACCTGAGCAGGCAGCTCTCTGGCATAGTCAAGGCAATGCAGAAAAGAGGACTGCACGTGGAATACTCTTACGAGCTTGGATTTAAGCTCCAGCCCCATATGAAGTAGGACATGCAATCTGAAACCCTTTCCTGGGTTTAGATGCCTTTGCCACCTCTCTTGCGATGGACTGCTATCTCAGTGACAACCCACAAAGAAGGTGGAGTTCATGGTACCCACCAATTATGTCACAGGCTAAACGTTTGAAGTGCTTGCCTAGGAAGTAGGAATCTGTGCTTGCTGTCGCACTGCCCAGGAAAGCTCCCGAGCCACCAGCTGGAATGGAAAGTGGGAATGGAGACACCCATTGAAACGGTGTGGGTGCAATGAAGACTGAGGGTTTCATAGGGATGGGAGGGGAATGACTCTGCAACTCGTTTGAGGGGGCACAGTGATACATGTATATATGTACTTATGAACACAGTTTACTTTTTTAATTAAAAATTCATTGTCCCAAGTCAGATCTCTGCTCGTAGGACTTTGGTGAGGGCTCTGACCACTATACTATTGCATATAACATAGGTAATGTCTCATCTGTGTGAGTTTTAGTTTGTTTGTTTTTTAATATGATGATAAGTGGCCTGACAGGTGCTTTGTGCCAGCAAGGTGAATGTTCTCTGAGAATCCAACCCAGGTCAGGCCTTTCGAGGTGGTGGGCTCTCAGGCACCTACTTTGTAAATTTTGAATGGCCTGAAGTGTGAGATTGGCATCAAGATGCTAAAGTAGTATATTTGGGTGTGCAGGTGCTTTTATGGATCTGAGCTGTAAATTCTCGGGTCAGTGAGAAGCTACATGGCTTGTGGGATGTTTCAGCTCTTGATTTCTCTTTTCAGGCTGAGCAGACAATTAATGATTGAATGGGCTCTGCTGGGAAGGCTTGTCCTCACACCATGACAGCTGATGAGTCAGAAGCTGGAGAGTTAGCTCTGGAGCCCCTGCTCACTTGCAAGCTATGTCTCTGTGAATATTCCCTGGATAAGATGACCACTCTTCAGGAATGCAGCTGCATCTTTTGTACATCGGTAAGGCCTAGCAGTGCCTTTACGTTACAGAGCGGGGTAATGGGAGACAGAACTGTGAGATGGCATTGCTTGTCCTGTATGAGAAGCGTGTGTTATCCATGCTGATAGGAGATGCTTTCCTAAAGAGCATTTGGTGTTAGTGTGTCTTTATTTAAAAGAATGACTCTGTCATTCTGCTTTTGATAATTCATAACTCTAACAGATAAATAATAATAAATCACAGTAGAAAATGGGAAAAAAGATGCATTTTAAGACTGTCAGAGAACATACACAGTCTACATGCAATCTCAGTATTTATTTTTCTGAAGCAAAATCTTGAAATGTCATGGGATAACTGTGAGATTTTGTTTCCCCTTTATAATTTTCTGAGTACTCAGAGACCTTTTAAGTCTTGTACATAATTTTTAAGAGCATGAACCTTGGCCTAATGAGCCTTTGCATCTGCAGTTTGTGCTGCAGAGATGTTGCCCAAGTCATGAATTGCCTATAGTTGTAAGTGAGGACTTTCTGTCCTGCAAATTCAGATCAAATAAAGCTGGTGGAAGTGATAAAGGTGGAGGTTGAGTGAGCTGCTAAAAGCCCTACAGATACTAGTATTCTTCTGGTCTCTTTGTCAGCATGGAAAAATGGACCCAGTTTCTCTGGCGATAGTGACTTTGGTGTACGTGACTAATGGATTTTGGAAACAGGTCAGAAGCCACTGGAGGGATGTTGTGTTTTTTAAGTCCAGAATAAATGTGCTTGGTTTTATTTTTTAACAATAAATTGTGGATAAGCATCAAGCAAGTACGTTTAAGTTTTGCCCTTTAATGTTTGAACTCATGGAAGAAATCTGATATTTGTGAAGTCAGCTTGAGTGAGAGTATCTTCATTTCCTCTGAATTCAGGGTAGTTTAAATAGGATAAGAATCTAGCTGTGTGTTTCAAGAAACTAGGATAAGGTTGATTAATATGCATTTTCAGCCTGAACTTCATGACGTTTGTTTTCCATACTGACTTCCACAAAATATTTCCATATTTTAGTTTGTAACAAAAGTTTTCAGAGAACATACCTAACAGGTAGGTATGAAGATATTACTTTAAATTAAAAAAATTCGGAGAAGTTGATACCTTTACAGTGGTCCCACTTTTCTCCAAGAATTCAGTAACTCTGATTTAGTATCATTAATAGCACGTTAACCTCAGTGTTAGCTGGGCAAAGTAACCCTTTCACCCCTGGGGAATGGAGGACTGCTGAGGACTGTGCCAGGCAGAGCTGGGCTATCCACTCCTTCGGGGCACTGGCTAAAGGGAGAGGTCGGTGACAGCTGGGGAAGTTGCTGTCCCCACTTGTCCCCTGTTGGTGCCGCAGCTGCCACCCCATACATACACCCCTTACCTGGCCGGTAGTGGGAAGACCATCTCCTCTGAGCTTGGCTCTGCAGTGCCACGACAGCGAAGTGGAGAGTACAGTCACAGTTGTTTGGCATCTGTGCAAACTTTGCTGACTTTGTCTAAATCAAGAGCCAGCCATGAGTGAGTGCTGACTGCAGCTGGGAGAAGCCTTTAGACATGCTCTATTTATTTCAGCGGGTGTAATATGTCTCGATTGTGCTTATGCTCCATGTCTACCCTTTGTCTGGCTGTTGTTGCCTGTGTCTGAACATCGTCCCGATGGATGTGTATGGGCTGTCGCAACAGAGACTTAGATCTTGCATCTTATAACAAAGGAGACTCTGGAAAGTTTTAACCAGCCTATATGGCTTTCTGTCTTGAATCCAGAGCAGTTTCTGGGAGACCATAATGAGTTGCACCTTTGGGCAGCCTCCAAAGAGCAGTGTCAGAAGCACCTTGCCACAGAGTGCCTCAGTGCCAGGGCTTGCATGGGGGATTGCTCGGGGCACAGCCTGCAGTAGCTGCACTGGTATGCAATGCCCTAAATTTCCTCCCAACCATGCCAGGGCTTCTACCTTCACACTACCCTTAAGACAGATATTGGGGTAAGAATGTCAACGGTGAGCTATGGGATTCAGCCCATATCAGTTTTTCAGCTAGCAATGCTTTCAGCTTGTATAGCTTATTCTTATTTTCTGTCGCTAAGATTAATTATATAGATCCAAGACTAGTATTAAATTTGAAATAGAAAAGGGTTTGACATGGGCATAATAGGTTCTGCTCTACTAAGGTGAAACTGTTAGTTTTGTTAATTTTTTGTTCTATTACACATACTACATGTGTGAGGGGTTGGTTTTTTTGCAAACTGTAATGACGATTCTGCATCTATGATTGTTTTTCACTACAGCATTTTTGGCTGTGGAAATAATTGGAAATTGTTACTATTTAGGCATCTGCAGGGGCGAGCTTATGTCTCCTTTTCAGTTGTAGCCTGTAAAACCAAGGAATTTAAATGAATTAGAATTGTGTGCACCTATTTTTTCATCTTAGAAACTCTTGTAATAAACATTATACCTCATAAAAGCTGTATTCTAGCCAAAGTAAGTAAACTGTGTTTAAGAAGGTGTATGTTTGCATTTTGGTGGAATGTTGCTAGTAAGACAGGAATTTTTCAAATAGCTATAAACATTTTTACTCTTTCTGTTCAGAGAAGAAAAAGCAGATGGCTTGCAGAACATGCTAGCCATCTTACTTGGTAGCCCAGTCAGGTCTGAAGAGGCATTAGCCTTGTATTTCTTAACATTTGTTGCACCTAAGACTTCACTGAAATGTGAGGTAAAGCACACATTTACACATCCCAAGAATTTGGAAATGACTATAGTGTACCTGATGGTTTGGTTTTATTGTGTTGGACTATATTAGTTTCGAATGAAAGTCTGATTTCTGAAGAGGGTTGGGCAGAGATGTGAGGTACATTTTATCTGCAAAAGTTTTACAGGACTGCACTTTATATTATTCAGGTCATTTCCTATAGCAATAAAACCTTTGCGGAGTGCCATGCTGTGGTGCACACTCTTACATATATATATTCAGCAATATATGTATTGCTTGAGCTGCATGGTTTTATGCTACTTGCCCCACTCCCTAAAGGGGAGGGGATCTCCTCTGTTCCTGATACTACTTATCTTAGGTTTTGTCTTGCCAGTCATCCTTCTTGTATATTTGGTGGGATGTCCTTCCTATCTGCAGTCCCTTGTGCTTACCTTGTTGCCTTGCAACTTTTTCTTCCTTGGATGTGCCCATGTGCAACTACACAGGTTTTTGCCCCTGTGGTGGTCACATCGCTCACGTATGTGTGTAAAATACTTACACACTGTGTGTGGGTACACCATCACAGTGTTACAAAATACAGTATTTTAGTGGATTTATATCTGGGTCCAAAGAAACTAATATTAATTACATCCTGATAGATACAAAATTATATTTTGAATATTACGCTTATTTCTAGTCAATATTCTTACATGTTTGTGTCCTTTGCTCTTCTTCTTCCTCCTCCAGATAGCTCCAGTGGTGCCTCACTCAGGCAAGAGTCAGGAGTGCTCTGGCAGGGTAGTGCCAGAAATGGACAGGCTGACCTCCCTGCTTTGCCTTTGGAGGGGGCACCGGGTGTTGCCCATGCTTTGGTGCTCATTAGACTGGCTGGAAAGTGTATGTCTTGGAGACTCCCGCCTTTTCAAAACCTGGCTGAAACTGGGAAAGCAGCTGGGAGAGACGATGAGTGGTGTGATCGCATGTACCTCGCTTCCTCTTGCTAGAAATGCCCTGGTAGCTGGCACAGCGTGAATTACCCTTTGGAAGCAGTAGTGAGGAGTGCAGGAGTAGCAGTAATACTGGAAATACTAAGGGCCCTATGGAAGACTCAGTGCGAGTCTGTAGCCTGTAAGCAGTCATGGAGGTGAGGTTTTACCAGGTGTGCTAAGATTGCCCTGGTGGCAGTGATGACGGAAGAGAACCAGTGGAGTGCTGTTACAGAAAATGTGGTTTTGGGGGTCAGTAAAAAAGCTGGTGTCAGCTTCTTCCCTGCACGCCACTTCTGTTTGTTTTTGTCTTTTCTCTTTTTCCCCCTCCTCCTAAGCATTTCAGAGTCCTGATGAGAGCCAGGTGAGCAATAAATGGCATTGCTGCTATTTACATCAAGCAGCAGCTTATATCTGTCTTGTGTGTTATTTACTGGAAGAGGGTTGGAGATGCCTAAGACAACATGTAACAAACTGAAAACAGAAGATACTTTCATATATTTGCTTCTGTGTTGTCAGCACATGTTTATGCAGACCTAGCATGATTCACCCTTCTTTTTTTCCAAGCAAATTCTTTGTTGATTCTTGTACTTCTGAGAAGCGTGTGAGGTAACTGAGTTACAAAACGCACAAAACAAATATCATGATGATCCACCTGTTTGTTATTTTGGTGCGCACAATGCTGTCTAAATGAGATTAAACTTCACGCAACCTTGGAAGGAGAACTCAAGTGTGCGATGTTGAATAGAAGCACAGGTAGCTTCTGTGCTGTCTTGGCTATTTTACAGGTAGAAGGTGATCCAAAGGCATTTGGGAGACCAAGATTTTCCACTGTAGCTATGTGACAGCAAGGCCAGGGCTAGACATGGGCAAAAAAGGCTCTTTTGCTGCTGTTGACAGCCTGGTGCTCTGGGCAGCTGCCTGCCTGGCAAGTCAGGGCCTTGGGAGGCTGCAGCCTCCGAGAGAGGGGCTTGCATGCTGCTGCCAGCTACTTTTGCTAGAGGGGAAGACGAAACCCTTCCAGAAATAGGAGTTTGTCTGTTGCCCTTCACCAGCAGGACACACTAAGACTCCTCTGCTTTCCTTCATCTTTTTAAGAGCAGCTGTGCATTGCCCTGCCTCCTTTGGGTGGCTAAATATTGACGTTTTGCCCTTAGTGCTGTGAAGCCTCAGATTGCTTGTACATGGGAGCACTGGAGAACTGGAGACAAACTGATGTGAAGGATCAGCATCAACAGCAAAAAGCGTGGGCAGAAGAGCCTGAGAGCAGAGGAGACCAAGTAGATCAAAGGCAAGGAGGAGACAGATGACAAAGAGCGTGGGATGCCT